TAAACTTGTCCTTGAGGGACAGGACTTTGTACTCGTGATGATTCACAGCCCAGGGGCTCCTGCTCAGCTCCATTTGCTGGTGTTGGGCTCTGGGAGGGGGAGGAAGGGAGGGTGGTGAACCCAGCAATGGTTTTCTGGGGGTAACTCTCTAGTCTCTGCTGCCAAGGAGTGCTAATCCATCCCCACTTGAACACAGAGGCCCTCACACAGTGCCTGTCGCTGCTCTAACTGAGGGTGGCATCACTGTTGCAGCCTTTGGGTCAGATGTGGGAGCTGCTTTGGGCTCGTGGTGCTCTGCAGGTCCTGGTGATGCCTTCTGGATATTTTGATGCCTCTAAGCACCTGCATCCCTTCCCTCAGGGGTGACCACACGTTTGCTGACAGCTACATCACGGTGCTGCCGAAGGGGACGGAGTTTGTGGTGTTCAGCATCGACGGCTCCTTCGCAGCCAGCGTGTCCATCATGGGCAGCGACCCCAAAGTCCGCGCCGGGGCCGTGGACGTTGTAAGGTCAGGGCAGGGCCTGGGGCAGTGGATCTGACGTTGGCCTTGTTCTGCAATCCACTGACCTGTGCCTTTCCTTCCAGGCACTGGCAAGACCTTGGCTACCTCATTATCTATGTCACGGGCCGCCCTGACATGCAGAAGCAGAGGGTGGTGGCATGGTTAGCACAGCACAACTTCCCCCACGGGATCGTGTCCTTCTGCGATGGGCTCGTTCACGACCCGCTGCGGCACAAGGCCAACTTCCTGAAATCCCTCATCACCGACGTAAGCCTGGCTGCGCTGAAATAGCATCGTGGCACGGGTTTAGATTGCTCCTCGTCCAACCTCCACTGTCAGCAGCAGTCTCTTGGCAGCAATGTGACCTGCAGTGGAAGATGAATCTGTTCATTTCATTTTCATCCCCTTATTGCTCTACAAAAGTGTCTGTGCTGTTAAATTGTGTTGCCTCTGCTCTGCACTGTTCCATTTCATCACTGCTCCTCAAACCCCTAATGGAACAGAGGCAGTAGAGCCTCCCTTCCCCCCACGGGCACTTTTTTCTCCTGCTTGGTGACTTTTTGGCTGCCTGTGGTGGAGACAGCAGGACTGAGAGGGGATTGAGCTGCTGCAGAAATGGCTTTGCTGGGAGACTCCACAGAGATCTTCCAGGCATTTGACCCTTGGGAGGCCCTGATGTTGCTCAGCCCAGAGCCTCAGGGAAGCTCCAAATACAACAAAGTGTTTTGTGTCTGGAAGGTGAAGGATCTGCCAGTATCCCAAGTACTTGCCATGTTTTATTAGCAGGAAAAGCCTGTCCTTAACTTTCTTGGGTTCCCTTTTTTGGTCTGAGTGGCAGTGGAGGGAGCAGCTGGCCCTCAGTTGTTCTCTTGTCCTCCACAAGTTTGGGACCAGGGTCAGAAATTCTCTTCCCAGCCCCTGCTCCAGCCCACTACAGAAGGGGTTGTCCAGGAGCTGCTCTCTGCTTGAAGTAGAGGCAGAGGTATCCCTGAAAAGCAGCAGGTTTTGCTGCCTGTCCCTTATCCCTCCGGCCAGCAGGTAACAGCAGCTTGGCTGTGGAGAGGAACAGTCCTGGCTAATGATTCCTGTACAGGTCTGCAGCTCCTCTCCCCCCAGGTGACAGCAGGGAAGTGTGCAGCATCCTTGCCCCCTGCAGACCTCAAGGGAAGGCCGTGGATCAGCAAGTGGAGATCTGCTCTTGTATCGCTGTCACTCCTCTTGTCATGGCCTGTAAACATCCCCGGCTCTGTTAATTAGCACTTCCCTGGGTGGTTCATTATCCAGCTGGGAATTTGAATTAGTTCCAGTGACCTGACATTCCCACAAATGCTATTGGAAAACCCAAAGGCCATCGTGCTGAGCAGCATGGGGTGCCTGTGTGTTGTGACCCTGTGCTGTTTCTGTCCCCCAGCTGCACATGAGGATCCACGCGGCGTACGGATCCACCAAGGACATCTCCGTGTACAGCTCCATCAGCCTCCCGCCCACGCACATCTACATCGTTGGTCGACCCACCAAGAAGCTGCAGAGCCAGTGTCAGGTAGGACACGAGGACTTCCCGTGGGAGGGAGGTGGGAATTTGGTCATCACAGGTGTGGTGACTGAGCTAGTGTTGGCCGACAGGGTGGGGACTGTCCCAGGTAGCAGGGACACAAAATGGGTCTGAGTGTTTCCGTGGCCGTCACCCCAGAGAAGCCGGCAGAACGAACGTACCTGGCTGCCAGTGGCTCTCAGGGAAACGTGTCCCACCTCTCTAACGCTGCCCTCGCCCCGCAGTTCATCACGGAGGGCTACGCAGCCCACCTGGCCCAGCTGGAGTACAACCACCGCGCGCGCCCTGCCAAGAACACCACGCGCATGGCGCTGCGCAAGGGCAGCTTCAGGCTGCCCAGCCAGGCCGAGTTCCTGCGCAAGAGGAACCACCTGCTGCGGACCATCTCCGCCCAGCCCTCGGCCAGCGGCGCCGGCCACCGGCCCGAGCGCACCCAGAGCCAGTCGGACAGCGACAAGGACAGGGACAGGGAGCGCAGCCAAAGGAGCATGAGCATCGCCACGGGCTGCTGGGGCCGCAGCGCCGCGTCCCGCCTGGAGTCCGGCCTCTTGGGGCAGAAGTAGCCAGGCCAGAGCCAGGATTGTCAGCTGCAGCCACCGGAGGAGAAAACAAAAGGGAAGAGGGACGAGGCCAGTGTTTCGGGCTGGAAGGGTAAATATGGTGCTACTCTAATAACACGGTGTTCTGGGAAGAGACGGGATGTTTCCCACACAGAACGTGCAGGCCTTGCAGCAGGAGCGTCAGGTTTGTGTGGCGTGAGCCCGAGGAACAGCTGGAAATCGGGGGGAAGTCTCCAGATCAGGACGGCGCTCTCTCCTGCCTCCTTCTCTCATCCAGGGTCAGTGACTGTAAATACGTGCCTCCTCGCCTTGTTAGCCATCGCTCCCACACGGTGACCGAGTGCTGTCCTCAGAGCCGCAGGAACAGGGCATGAGGCTGGGGGAGCTGTTCTGGGCTGTCCCAGGAGTCAGACTGGGGGCTCTGGGGTCGGGTAACGCGCCGCTCCCCCGGCCCCAGCTGGGGATTTGCCGTGGGCTGTGCCAGGCAGAGCGACCGAGAGCTTTTCCTGGACAGAGAGCTCCACGTGCAGCCACTTTCCCAAGGAGCTGGTGCAGTGCAAAGCTAAAGCTGCATCCATGCCGTTGGCAGAGGCAGAATGTCGGCAGATTCGTGCCCAAGACAGCGGGGTCATTATTGTTATTACTGTTATTTTTTAGAGACCTTTTAGAAGCCGATGGAATTTAATGTGTTCACCTATTAAAAGAGGAATACAAGCTATTTTGTTTGAGCTGTTACAGACCTCAGACACTTAATTTGCTGTTAAAGTCTCCGAGTAGTCTCACTATGTATTATTTCCAACAAGTAACCACCATATATTTGGAAGCAGCTGAAGGCACTCAGCAGCTGGATTGCATTGCAGTTCTTCTCATCCAAATGCAGGGTCTGACTCTCTCAACACCCACCTCTGAGACCTTTTTTCTTCCCAGGTTCTCTCCAAGTTCAGTAGCAGCTTTCATGGGAACTAGACTCGCTTCTTTTACCTATAGTTACTGAACTGTAAAACCTCATTGTTTTTTGCACTGATGATTTTTAGAATGGAAACCTGTTACCATCTCATGTAGCTACACCAGTGTTTGTAGTGCATGACAATGAAATATTGCTAAGCCAGGGTGTGTGTGGATATCTATACATTATATACACACACACATATATATATGTATATATTTAAAAAAACAACAAACAATCTGTGCAGAAGTTTTTCCAGCAGTAAGGAGACTGTAAGGAAGTGTGCCAACAATGTCAGGCAACCTTAAGAAAAGGCCATATCTTAATTTTTCTGGTGTGTTTCTCAGTGGATGTGCCTGAGACACTGGGTTTGTGCTGCTGGAGCGAGCCGGCGGGCGCGTGGCAGAGGGCTGGCACCCCGGTGACACCACACAGGGACAGGGAACAGTGCCTGGAGCCAGGGCTTGCCAAAAAGCCCCTCAGTCCTGTCCCTCCCCGGGCCAGCGAAGGTTCCCTCCTTGCACACACCTCCTGGGGCGAGGGGCACCACACGGGGGGCTCCGGGGTGCCCATTACAGACTCCAGTTGGCCTCTTGATGTGGAGATTTTATAGTCCTACCCAGCTCCCCGACTGTGTGTAACCCTGCTTTCCCCACCACACCTTCCTGTCTTTGTATCACTTTCTACTTACGAGGATCTTATTTATAACAGAGAATTTTTTAGACTGGCTGCTTCATTTTCTTACCAGTTTCAATAAGAACGGTGCAGGACGGCCGCACTGAGATACACAGCACTGTGAACGCTGCTCTGCTCACTGCCTCTGGGCCATGGTAGACAAACCCAACTCATCCAACTCATGTGTTCGTGGTGTGGAGGGTCCAGGCCGAGGCAGAGCAGGGACAGTGCAGAGCTGCCGCCGGCATCCGAGCCCCTGGAGCGCTCAGACCCGACTGCAAAACGTTTAAACCACTTCTCTTTGGTAATTATCCAATTACAGAATGTACCTGATGACTTTTTGTTACCAGAAACTGACTTCCCTTTCTGCTGACTCAGCTTGGCTCTCTCTGAATGTACATCCAGAGCTTTTACTGGGTTTGTAAACAATGTGAATTTGTCCCAGCTTTTTGCTAGCCGAATGTTCTATCAAACAGATGCCATCTGAGCAGGAAGCCAAGCCACAATCGATCCTGTGAAGTCACCAAACCACATCACTAAATAATTTCTGCAAATTTGGATATGGCCTTTGCAAAATTCACCTTTCCTCCAAGTCCAGAACCGAGGCATGGTCTGTACATTTTCCAGTGTTGACGAGATGTTCACATTTTCTTATGTGTAGATAGTGTAAAACAGAGGCGAATGTAAATGTTCAACATAAAAAGTGGATATATAAAATTGAAAGTTATTTATTTATGTAGAGGAAAAAAAAAATGTCTGGAGGGACTGGAACCTTCAGGGTTTATTAATATTTTAAAAATGTAGCTTTTTGTTTCAGGCATTATGTACAAAGCAATTATTTTATGGACCAAGTTTAATGTAACTGTCAATGAATGCAGAAGTGCAATATGATACTCACCCTCTCCATCACTCCATGTTTTAAACAGCTCCTAACCAGTTAGCCTGACAATCACAGCACCTCCGTCCTCATCCTCTGTTGAGCTTCTTGAACCTTGCCCGGGTCCTTTCCCTGGCCCCCCATCCGTTGCCATTGTACGGATCCAACACGGAGAAGCAATTGTAGAGCAGGACCTTTATTGCTGCAATAATACCCCGGGAGGTGGGTGTAGTTACCAGGAAATAATGCCACTAAGTTTTTCTTCACAGACTCAGTCCATCCCCGTCTCCATCGCTCAATCCTCAGCTGCCCCCATCTGGCACTCATCCCTCTGAAGCAGAGATGAGCACTCACAGAACAATAGCAATAGTTTAACTCTGTGTTTATAACCTGTTTGTCCCGAGCTGTTTTGGAGAGCAATGCATGTGACCCGATGCCTTTCCACGTGTATGGAAGAGGATCCGTCTGGACGTGGTGAGGGAAAGATGAATGTATATTCCATCCTTACTAAAGGGGCGCTGTCAGGGTAAAGACCTAATTTATCCTTGTTACAAGTAACTTGTTTGCTTTGAAAGGAGAGAATGGGAAGTTTCTTGTCCTCCTCCCTCGGCCGTTGTCTGGACAGCCCTCGGCGCCAGCCCACGTCCTGTTCTGCACATCAGCACAACACAGCCTCGGGCTTTGGGGTTGCTTTTCTGTTTCCATGGGAATCAAACTCTGCTGCTGAGCTCAGATTTTTTATGAAAAGCAGCTTTTTATATTACTGCACCCTTAGGCCAGACTTTCTACCTGATGCTGTCCCTTTAAAGTCTTTTAAAAAACCAGTGAGGAGCCCGTGCATTCCCTCCGAGTCGTTTCCCTGGGTTTGCTCAGATCACTCTGTCAGATGAGGCGAAATCCTAGTACCAAAAACCGTTTACAGTGTTGGGGGCACGAGCCCAGAGCAGAAATCAGCCAAAGGGTCACCACCACCACCCTCCCGCCCGCCCAGCAGCCGCCGTGCTTGCTGTAGCAGCCCCTTCTTCAGGTATCGCCACTGTTTGCTGCATTTCCTATTAGTTCTAGAAGCCTTACGGTCCCCTCCCTCTGCCTGTTGATACCCTCGACTGTCAATTTTATATTCCAACAATGTTAGTTATATTTTATTTATAAAAAATTGCTCTAGGGGTACCAGCTGTGTGTGGGGAGCCAGCGGGGGGATGCCCGAGGGCGCCGGGTACGCCCCGCGTGTGCAGTGCCGATGACTCGCTTGTGTGTGGCAAACCTTCTGTACAACTTCCTTCTCCTCCTTGCTGTTAGTGCATCGTTCCAATGCCTGGTGTGCTTCGTGTACAGTATCATTGTGAGTTACACAGATTAAAGAAATGGGAAGGCTCTTCTCTGTCTGCTTTTTTTGGGGGGTGGGGGAATACTCTAGAAATGGACAAGTCATAAAATGTGAGCAGGTGCCAGTTTAATGGGGTTACAGCCATGAACAGAACGTGGAAACCCTCTGCAGAGATCCTGCAGGACCCATTTGTCCTTTAACCCATTTGTCCTTCTGTTTTTTACAGTTTCCAGCAAGGGAAAAGGCTGCTGTGTTTGCTTCAGAGCAGCCCTGGGCCCTGAGAAGCCCAGAGCCCCAGCGCTGCCTGGGGCCTGTGCTGTGGGGAAGGGACATGAGCTGCATGCAGGAGCAAGGCAAAGCCACCCCTCCGCAAAGCACACCTGCACAGTGCAGTGTGCCACGTCAGTGCTCCTCTGCCCGAGGAGGTGAAGCTGCAGGAAGGTTGGGAGAAGCCCCAGGGGCGCAGTGGAGTGGAGGGAGGCACTCAGGGGAGCTGCAGTCTGAGCAGAGCCACAGCCACTCCACTCTGAGCAGGGTCAGTGAGTGCAAAGGGCCCGTGAGCCAGATCCAGCAAGGAAAGGGCCATGGGCAGCCCCTGAAGGGAAGAAGTGGAAGCCAGCTGTGTGCTTTGTGGCCCCGGTACACACCCTGTCCTGGCCACAGCATTGGCTCCTGCCCCTCAAAGCCCAGAGCACCCTGAGGGTGTCTGTCCCCTGGGTGCTGCTGAGCTCCTCCAGCATCCAGAGGAGCACTGGGGCAAATGGCTCATGTACATTACAGCCACACTGGCCTGAGCTGGGACAGGGAGGGGAGAAGCTGTTTACTGGGAGGTGAACCCATAAAGTCGCTCTCCTTCCCAGTCAGTAACTTACAGAGCAGCTGGAAAGGGCCCCTGGGGAACATCTTGACACGGTGCTGTCTGCGTGGTCCAGAGGCAGAGGCTCCCCGGGGCTGGCAGGGGCAGCAGGACGGGCCCCTGGGCTGGCTGGTGCCTGCCCTCACTGCAGCATCCCCGTCCTCACCTGGAAGGCCAGCCCATCCCCACGAGTGGCTTGCTGCAGGGGAAACAGCACTCACAGCCCTCCCTGCCCAGGACTGCAGCACCTCCAGCACCACCCCGGGGCCCTGGCGGTGCTGCCAGGGCTCAGCTTGTCCCCAGGGTGGAAACACAACCCCTCTGGGTGCAGCAGCTCCCTGGCTGTGCCCAGCCACCCCATGCAGGTCCCACTACCTTGTTAATCTCCTTGTGTCTCTCCTTGCTGACGATTTCTTCCAGGACTTCCCCGTCCCCCTTAATGAGCCTGCAAGTCAAGCACAGCCCCTGGAGCCATGAGGGTACTGGCAAGTTCCTGCAGCTGCAAAGCTGCTGTCCCCCACCCTGAGGGCACCTGCAGGTGCTGGGATGATGCACCTCCTGGCAAGGCCAGAGCTGACCCACCCCTGACACTGTATTTTGTGACTTTGCTTTTTTATCAAGCTTCAATAGCACAGCATGGCCACTGTGGGATTAATGTCACCACACTGCAGCAAGGACAGGAGTGCTCCCCTGAGAACTGAGGGCCAGCTGGCCCTGCCCCAGGCTGTGGGCACTGCCTGCTGTGTGCAGTCAGTCACACTGGCACAGGAAAACATTCCTGATAAAAGCATCCCCTGTCACCCTACAACCCACAGTGCCCCAACCCATGCAAAACCTCTTGGTTTTTTTTCAATCGAGTTCAGGTGTCGTCCTGGCTGCCCCAGGAAACTGCAAAGCCATTCAGGAACAGGAGCCAGTTTGGGCCTGAAATGCAGCCAGGCCAGGGAGCATCTTGCTGAGCAAATTCCAAGCAGTGTTGGAGGCGGCTCACACCTCCAAACATGAATAGAAATTTAATTGTCTTCATTACGTGCCTTACAGGGAACCGACCTTTGTTCCACACCTCCCTGAGCCCTGCAGGCTGCCTTCTATTTTAAGACTGGACTTGTCATACCCAATTCTCTTCAGCATGACGTTTTCTGCTTGCTGAGAAGATGGAGTTTATTAAAAACTGGGTCATTTCTATTTGGCAGCTAAATGAACTTGAGTTTGATCGGTCTGTAACCCCACAGGGCACATGCTCCTCATTCCCACCTGGGTGTTAACCAGGGCCCAGGACTTTGGAGCTGAAGGTAAGTGGATGCAGCAGTGGGATACTGGGACACAGCCCAGTGTCCCTTGTGTGGAGCTCCAGCACATTTCAATGATTTGGTGTCATTGTGTCACTTTCTGGGCAGGTCACACCAGGCCTGTGAGGGGTTGGCTCCGGCCTTCGCTGCTCAAGGGGTCCTGGCTCCAGCTGTGGTGCTGCAGTGCCATGGCCAGGCCTCCAGCCCACTCAGCATGGATGGGAATGGACAACCCCTCTCCCTTTTCCCCAGGTCATACCTGGTTCTCCCCGTTTCGGGATCCACCACTCTCCTTATGACGCTCTGCCTCGCGTCCCACTCCTCCTTTGTCATTGGCTTCATAGCCTGGATCCGGGATTTCTGTTCATCTGTCAGAGCTGGAATGCAGTGCTCAGTCAGAGCTGTGCTCCAGGAAAGGGGCACAGCACCAGGGCTTCAGCCCACGGACAACATTTCACACCCAGTTCCCAGCAGGATTCGGTGTACAGTGACAAACCACACAAAGAAAGGGACACTCCACATCCCAAAGCCAGGACCAGCTTCGCCAGGATCTTACTGCTGACTGTGTCATTCCATTTGGCATCTTTCTTCCCCAGTCACATCTATAAGCTACACCCTAACACTTTACAAACCAATCTCTGAGAGTGGCTCAAAGGTGGGCACGGTGCATAGGAGGGAGGAGAGCCTGGGGCTCCTCCCTGTCCACAGCCCTGCTTCCCTCAGTCACCCAGGGACAGCACAGTTCCCGTGTGCACGGGCTCCAGCAGAAGGGAAAGAGCATCCTTACCTGGCACAGAGTCCACCACCGATTCCTTCTGCCACTGCTCCAGCGAGGGGCCAGGTGCCTCTTCTGCCTTGGCTTTCTCCTCCTTAGCTCTCTCCTTTGCCTTCTTTTTGGATTTCTTCTTTATTTTTTTCTTCTTCTTCCTCTTCTTTTTGTCTTTCTGTTTCACTCGCTTTTTTTTGCTGTCTTGACTCTTCTTCATTTTGGAGTCACTGTCACTGGAGTCATCGGAAGAGGAGCTGGAGGAAGATGAGGAAGAGCTGGTGGACAAAGATGTCCCAGAGGAAGAGGTACTGGCCTTCCTCTTCTTTTTGTCCTTTCCTTCCTTCTTCTTTTCTGCAATACACAAGAAGAGGGTGTGTGGAGCAGCCCTGGCCCTGCAGCAGCAGAGATGTTGGTTTATCCCCCTCCCAAGTCTGGTTTCTTTCCTGCCTGGAATTCCCCTCTGTGCCCACAGAGCACAGGGCACAGAGTCCAACCCAGGGCGCTCTGTGGTGCCAGACCAGCTCACGGAGGGACTGAGGGCTCTGCATTTGTCAGAACGAGACCAAAGTGGGCATCAAGTGCAGGACAAGGTGACAGACACCAGCTAAACCCAGGGATCCTCTTCACCTCCCCGAGCCCTCTCTGTGCACCTGCCCTAGGGTAATGTGGTGAAAGCACAGGCTCAGGGCCTTCCCCCACCTTCCCTGGCTGCTGCCAAGCTCGATTTGTGTCCGTGAGAGCCAGAGATCCTCTTCCTTGGTGGAGAGCTGCTGCCCCGCTGCGAGTCCTTGCTGCTCTTCCTCCTTTTCTTCTCCTTCCTCTCCCGCCTGCTCCGGGAATCGCTTTTGCTCCTGCTCCGCGATCGCTTCCGAGAGCGGCTGTGGGCCATGGCAGCTCCTGGAGGGGTCACATCAGAGCCACGGGGGGACCAACCCTGCCCAGCAGCCCCAAAATCCTTCACTCCAATCTGAGCCAACAGCCCTGGAAAACCTGCTCCTGTCAAACTCTGCCCCTGCTCCTGTCAAACTCCGTTCCTGCTCCTGTCAAACCCTGTCCCTGCTCCCACCACGATGGTGAGGGCTCTCCCAAAATGGCCACGTGGAATTTCACCACCCCCACTATGGCAGGGAGCTGGCACAGGGACAGCACTGCCATCCCCAGCAGCCCTCACCTGCCTCAGACAACTGTCCCCAAGCAGGGGACAACCTTCCAGCAGGTTCTCCCTGTGCTGCTGCTGTTTGTCCCCGGAGGATCGGGCGGGCACAGAGGGGCCTGAGGCTGTTTGTGCAGCAGGGCTGTGCCCGTGGGTGGGCACCAGGAGATGCTGCAGCACAGCCAGACACGGGCAGAGGGTGATGGATACTGCAGCCACAGCCAGCAGAACAAAACGTCCTCCCCGAGTCAATCACGCCGTCACTTCAAACGCTGGGAGCAGGCACCAGCCAAGGGGAAGAATGAATTTTTAATATTCCAATTTACTCTTAGAAAACAGATGCTGCACTGAGCTGGCACCCCCGTCCATCAGCCCCAAGGATGCCAGCAGCCCCAGGCCAGTGTGATCCGTGCTCTCGTTAATTTAAAAAACAAACTGGCACCGGGGGCAGGGCAGGAGCTGGGAAACGCTTTCTCACAGCCACCTTCCCATTTAATGAATTGTTTGTTTACCACCTCGACAATCCCAGGCAGCAACTTGGATTTGCTCCCAAGTGAATCAGATCTTTGATTGATTTCCATAGGGAAATTTCAATCAGAAAAAAAACCACAACAAAACCAATCACAACTATTATGCACGCAGGGAGGTTTCAGAGCATGAGAGTCCTCCATGCACACACGCAGCAGCTGCCCCTTGCACCAGGGCCTGGCTGGGGACAGCGTTTGGGACTCGGATCTTTCCCTTCTGGCTGTGGCAGCAGGAAGAAAAACCCACTTTGATACAACCACAGCAGCAGGATCAATGGGTCTGGAGCTGGGGGTGACGAATCCCAAGTCCATCCCAGCAGCATCCCAGGCTGGCCGTGCCCCAGGCCGAGCTCTCAGCCCCACCCTGACACCTCAGCGACTCCTCCTGCCCGCCTAGCTCTGCCCTGGGCAGCTGCAGGGGCTGTCCCTGCCCTCACCCCTGCACGGGCGAGGTGCGCTGGCCCTTTAAGAGCTCAGCACGACATGCGCTGGCCCTTTAAGAGTTCAGCAAAAGGTGTGCTGGCCCTTTAAGAGTTCAGCAAAAGGTGTGCTGGCCCTTTAAAAGCTCAGCAAAAGGTGTGCTGGCCCTTTAAAAGCTCAGCAAAAGGTGTGCTGGTCCTTTAAAAGCTCAGCAAAAGGTGTGCTGGTCCTTTAAAAGCTCAGCAAAAGGTGTGCTGGCCCTTTAAGAGCTCAGCACGAGGCGTTCTACGCGCGCGGCTCCAGGCGCGGCCCCTTTAAGTGCGCAGCTTTTTATCAGCCCCCCCGGGGCCGCCGCAACACTCGGGCCTGTGGCCCCCCCGGCCCGCCCTTCTCCAGTGTCCCGGGCCGGGCCGGGCCGGCCCCGCCGCAGGTGAGGGGAGCGGGAGGGAGCGGGGACTCACCGGGCCGGGCCCCGCCGCCCCGAGCGGGGCTCCCGCCGCCGGGACCGCGCTGGCCGCCTCCCGCCTCCGTCCGCCGCGCGCGGGGCCGGGCGGCAGCCGGACCGCGCTCTTTGGTTCCGGGGGCCGCCTCGCCCGCCCCGGAGCTCAATTTTTGGGGTGAATTCGGGCAGATTGGGAGCGCTCACGTTCGCCAGTGAGCGAGATAAAGGCTTCGAGACGGCGTTTCTTGATAGCGGCTTCTCGCTCAGATACAACCGCCGGTTTCCTTCCCTCGGTGTAATTTTAATGAGCTTTGCAAATGAGAAGCTCATCAGCGCCCTGTGCCAATGTCAGCCCCAGCCAAAATCCAGCGGGTCCGCTGGAAGAGCCGCAATAAACACCTTTTGTGCGAGCTGCACCCGCTCACGTTCAGCCCTCCACAGTTACCGATGTGATTAGCCATGGGCTGTGATTACTGCACTCAACAGATAAAGGGAAAAGCCCCTTCCTTGTAAATGCAGCAGCATCTATCCAATATATCGAGTTCGTTTTCCAGGATGGCAAATGCAGACACCAAATCAGACAATAATTGGCTTCCTTAATTTGTTTAGTAGATGGAAGAATCTCATGCTTTCAGGCAGCTGGAAGGAAGGAGGGAAAAGCACTGGACCCTTCTAATCCATCAGTGCCTGGGGGATCTTGGTGCCAAATTAAGTCTCAGGCCTTGTCTGCTGCTGCCTCCAGGCTGGCAGAGTTCTTTTATATTTTCACTTGTTCATGTAACTAAAGCAAAGGGAGTTAAAAGTACATCTTGTCCTGGGAAGTTTTGCTCTGCTGCAGGTGGCTCCCCGAGCTCTGTCTCTGCTTAATAAAGTTCACAAAACCTTTGAAAGGGAAGTTTCTGCTCCCAAGAAGCCTTTGGGACGTGTCTCAGCCATCCTGGAGGGATCACTGCTCCCTCTGTTGCTCCTGGTGGATTTTTCTGAGCCTGGCTTAGACAGACATCGAGTGGTGAGAATTCCCTGCCATTCCCAACAGCTCACTGTGAATCACCTGGATCTCATTCCTGAGCAGATCCTTCCCGGTCCCTCAGCCACACAAAGCTCTTCCCCTCCCCGTGGCAGAGGACAGGAGGCCCCAAGAAAAGCAGAGAAATGGTTTATTCTGCCATTCTTCCCCATTTCTAGTGGGACCTGGGGTGCTGCTGTTGGCAGAGAGGCCAAGGAGCTTCAGGTGTTTCCCCTGTGCACTTGGAATTATTGACAGAGTCCCTGCAGGGAATGAGAGTTGGAGTTTGTGTGTCTTAGAGTCCTCCAGCCCCAGCTGAGCCCTCAGGAGCCGAGTTCCAGCTCTTCCAGCTGGAATGCTGGCATGGCTGGCTTAGCATCCCTTCCCAAGGTGAGAGCTGCTCCTTGCACTCAGCACAGCCCAGGGGTGCAGCCTGGGAGGTCAGAACGGCGCTTTGGACAATTTGGAGTGGGGAAATCCTCCCCCCACTACCCCAAGGCACAGAGATTCACGGTCTGCGGCACCTCCTCCTCCTCCAGGGGTTCTGTGAAGCCATCCCCAAAGCCCTCGGCCTCCACCAGCTCGGGTTTCCTGCGGCACATGGGGCAGAGCTGGTTTCGGATGGCCGAGGATCTCATCCACACGATGAGGTTCCAGCGCTGCCCGGAGGCGATGGGCAGGGCCCCGTGGATCTGCCCCCCTCGGTGCAGCAGCCCCCGGCCTCCAACGTGCTCCACCTCGATGTATTTGGGCACTGGGGTGGGATCCTGGAACAAAGGGATTCGTGTCACGCCATGAAGTCTCTCAAATTGTTGAAATCTGTCACCTCTTTCCCCCACAGCACCCAGGAAGCAACAGCTGAAATGAAAGTTCAAAGCTCCCGTAGAGTTGAAGCTGTATGGGAGCTTCTGCCCCTCTCTTGCCCTGAAAACAGGTGCTAGAGATTTAGTTTGAAGTCACATCTGAAATAAATCTCTCCCTCAGCACCTCCCTGCTCACAGTTTCAGATGTGGAAAGAGGGGGTGCTTTGTTTCACTGCACTTTACTGCAAAGCTGCATCTGTCTTCTCTTTAAAATACTGAATATTGCTATTGGAATATTGCAGCTGAAGAGGATCCTGTATAACCAAGCCATGCAAAAACGGGGAAGGACAGAGCAGGTTTGACTGTCAGAGGTGAATAATGTTTTTTTTCAGGACAGAGTGGATGCCTTGCAGCTGGGGGGCTGAGGAGGGAGAGGTGAGTGGGACGTGCTCAGTACCTGGTTGAAATCCCCAAAGTACAAATTTCCTTCTGTGAATTCTTTCCCGAGGGAAACGTTCAGGGTGACTTCAGCGTTGTCGTAGTGCGAGCTGAGGTCCAGGTCCTCGTGCAGGGAGTACTTGACCACGAAAGCTTTGTGGCTGTCCAGGCAGGCCCCTCCCAGCTCCGGGTACAGCAGGGCCGTGATGGGCAGGAGCCGCTCCCGCAGCGGCGTCAGGAAAGGCTCATCCATGCCCAGCTCGTTCAGCAAAACCTGCGCCGAGGAGAGCAAGGGGAGAAGAGCTCAGCAGCCACAGCTGCTGCTCCTCAGAGCTGCTGTCCTCCTCCAGCCCTGCTGCTGGCTCAGATCGCTTTGGAGCAAAGGCTCCGGCTACGGGGAAAAGGAAGGAGGATCAAGGTGGACAGGGATGGGGGGAAACACAGAGTAATAGGATCAAAAGTTTCTTTAGAAACTGTGTCCTTGATTTAAATTTGTTTTGCTTAAGCACAAGGTGCTCTTTGCTCTGAGATACCAACTCCTTCCCCTGCATTCCCACTTTCTTTTGTCCCTGCAACATTCCCTCAATCCTGTCACTCCACGGGGGCACTGAACTCGAACTGCTCCGTGTAAAATGAGAGGCACTTTGGAACTGGAGGGAGTGAGGCGTGAGGAGATGAGCACAGGGAACACCACCCCTAAAGAAGCACAGGAGATGAGTCCTACCCCGTAGTTGTTCATGGTGTTGGGCCTGCCTTTGGGCATATCCGACTGCTCAAAGTTCTCCAGCTCATCCACAAAGGCTTGGCAGAACTCCTCTGTGAACACTGGGAGTCGGTAAATCCTCTTATCTGCCAGCAGAGGGGAGACAGAGTTTGCTGGGGAACTCCCAGTTTTCCTGGCTGCCTGTCCAGCTGCACTGTGCTGGTGTCAGTGAGGGCACAGCACCCACAGGCTGCACTTTGTGCTCAGACTGCTCAGAGGGCTGGCACCATTTCCTGGGCTCAGCTCTGGGGTGTATTTGGTATTTTTCATGGTGGTCCCTCATTTCCAGAGCAGAAGGCTGTGTCTGGAACTGGTGCCCTGGATAAATCCAGGAGCTCTGCACACAGACATTGGTGTCTTTGCCTTGAGGAAAGGAGGCAACACTGCCTCTTCCCCTCTGCATCTTGGCAGCATTTCAGGTAAGCAGAAAGCTTCACAGCAGCCTCCAGGGAAGCTGAAAACCCAGCTCTCTTTTTCAAAGGCTGAAATCTAGTCTGAAGCTACTTCAGCCCAGACTAACCAACAGGGGCTGTCTGCAATGGCAAAGCACTCAGGGAAGGAAAACCAAGCTCCCTGGGCTCCCAGTGCTCCTTCAGCAGGCTCCCTGGTGAGCTGTGGTACAACCAAAACCCCAGCCCTGGAGTCTCTGGTGAGACATCAGCAGGCTGGGATGGGAAAGCAGAAAACAGCCTCTGATCTCAGAGCAGAACTGCTGCCTCTCCAGAGACCCTCCTCAGGCAGAGAATAACATCCTGTGTGCCTCAGCTTGTGTCAAAGCAGAGCTGTTCCAGACAGGGCTTGGGAACAGCTGTCACCAGGGGGATCTGTGGGACTGAGGTGTTGTTTTCTTTACCTGAGAAGGACTCGAGGTAGCTCAGGAGGCCCTGGAGATCAGCACCTGGAGATGTGCAGAACCTCACGATTTCCAGAAACTCTGGGGCCAGGAAGGAATCCTGGATTCCAGGGGAAGGATGGGAAGAACACACAGAAACACAATCAGCCTGCACAGCCCGAGAGGGAAATGGACTCCCAGGGAAATACACAGTCCCTAGGGAGCAAGGCTGAGTCACACCCGAGATAATTCCACAGCAGGAAATGCAGAATGTCACTGGTGTTTTACCAGTGGGGTGGGGAAGTTACTGCTTGCTTTAGTGCATGGTTTTCTAGGAGTAACTGTCCAGATTTATCCTAGGCATGACAGGAAAGAGCCTTTTCTGGCTGGAACACCAGGAATCTTGCCTGGAGAACACGCTGTGCTGTCGTGTTTTTAAAGCTTTAAATCCAGTTTTCATATGCTACCCCTGTGTTTTAATTCAGTGCAGCTTTAGCACTGTGCAGTCCCGAGGAGAGGGGGAAATAAACTACAAAAATAAAATTATCAGGTAATTTTTTTGGGGGGTGCAAAAGAGATTCCAAACCTTCTGTGTACCTGCAGGGTGTACACCTCTGGGTGTTTTGGTTTGTAGCACTTGGAGATGATGGCTCTGCGTTCCACTGACTGATGGATTAACTCTTTTCTTCTCTGCACTTCTGCCTCAATCTGTGAGTAAACAACAGCACATTGTCAGAAATCAACAGGGCTGAGTAAAACAGCTCTGGGAATCTGCTCATTGCTTTAAACCGATTATTTTTGTTTGGGGGCACCTCTGGGGGACAGAGTGTTTGCTTTGTTTTTCTGTGGTCAAGACAAGTCCAGTAAATACCTGGAAAGCCAAATGTCTTAGAGGAGTTTATGTTCTCTTTACAGATGGCTTAAAAACTGAGGACTTTGCTGTGGAAGTGTCAAGTGGAGCTGTGAGGTTTCAGCCCTTTCAGGCATTCTGACACCTCCTGAATCTGGCTTTGTTCTGACAATGGAGGCATTGTCCAAAATACAGACATTTGCTGGGAGCAAGACAAGTCCTGTCATGAAGGGATTACTGCTAAGTGTGGTAGAGACAGGCTAAGCTGCCCTTTCGGAGCAAACAGCTGATCCAGGCAGCTCTTCCCCTTTTAATTCCCCCTCATGAGATTAATTTGTAACAGTCCTTGCTGAGGAGTGAGTGAGCAGCCATTCC